AGATTTGTTAAACAAAGTGAACTAAACTCATAAAGCTTTGATTCGAGATGAAATGAGAACTTAATACATTTTATGCCTAAGTTTTACGTTTTTTCTACAACTAAAACTATATTGCAGAAAACCCATTTCTATTTTATCTTAACTTCCCTGAATAAATAAATGCAAATAGAAATCAACAGCCATTTATGTAAATAAAGAAAACAAAAGAGGCATGCTTTCGAATATTCAAAAAGAAAAACCTATCACCCAAATAACCGAGATTGGTGTAATCTCAATACTTCTCACCGAAAGAAAAAGAATGCAACTTTTTTTCAGGCTAGTAACATAATCCAAAGAATACCCATTAACTCATTTTGTCTAAAAACTCCAACGAAAACCCAACGATTATGTTTAAAAAAAAAAGTAAAGCTAGAAAGAGAGAAGAAAACCTGGAGGTGGGTAATCCTTTACAGAGTTCAGTGCTGCAAGACAAGGCTCCTTTGTAGAGCCAAATATATGTGCAAAACTGATGCCCCTCAAATATTGTTGCCCTGGGCTAAGGCCCAGGTGACACAGGTATTGGGGTCGACCCTGAGAACATGGAAAGAACAAGTAAGAACAATAATTAATATGCAGGAGGCATACTTGATATTGGGGATTCCTCTATCCTACGTCGCCGAACATCTCCAGCAGGTCGTATTCTCAAGGAAGGAGGAGGACTCCTAGCAGAGAAATAGATCAACACTATTCAGCAGCAACGCTCGGGCAATTGAGAAAGAGGTCAATGTGGACTCCGAGCAGAAAAAGAGAGCAACAACAACCATGCTCGGGCAGTAGAGAAAGAGGTCAGCATGGGATGAAATGCCATGTTAACATGGAGTCAAACAGCAGGTCAACGTGATTGTAATATGTGGCCAAACGGTGCCACATCAGCTGGTTAACGCATTACATTAGCATTCTGTCACCCATATTAACAGATGTTAACGTCGAGTTATCGATTTATTATAAATCAATAACAGTAGTGACCAATTCATTATTTTAAAAACTTTAATGGGAAAAATAAAAAATTATTCAAAAATTAATGATCATTTGTATAGTGTACCTTATTTCTAATGAAATTATATAAAACTACAATTATTTTAAGATTGTGATAATTTTCTTTTTATTAACCTTATATTTTTGGTGTTGTTACCCAAGACTTTAAGAAAAAATAATATTTTTTTTACTATCGAGGTCGCTTAGTTCGTATCGAGATTATGATAACTTAAATAGTTTGGATATAGTAAAATTATAGACTAAAATAATTGATATTTGTATGGTTTATTTTTTTCATATTACTTTTATTGTTTATATTTAAGATTTGTAATTATACTTCTTAGGATAAAGTATATAAATGGTCCCCTGATTATAAGACGTTGCTTTGTTGAGTCACTTGACTATTAAAAGTTACAAAATGATCATCTGATTATCTGTATGTTACGTTAACATGCTAACTAAGATATGATAGTCGTTTGAGATTATGAGATCAGATTTTAACATATCTCAGTCAGCAAGTTAATGTCTAACTCAGACTACCGTTAATATTTTAATAAAAAAAAGATGAGTGAGTAATCATTTTGTAACTTTTCATAGTTGTTGACTCAATAAAGTGACATTATATAGTTAGAGAATTATTTTGTAATTTCAAATAGTCGTGAGACTCAAAATAAAACAACATCCTATAATCGATAGATCATATATATATATTACCCTCCTTTCTAATAATATCGTCTTTAATATTTTAATTTTTATTTTAGATCATTGGCAACTTTTCAATCATTGTTATTGAAATTTTGTTCTTCTCAAAAAATTTCTGATTTAATTATTATATAATTTTAAAATTAATAAAATTAGATTTTAATTTATTTAATCTTATAATTTAATTATTTTTTAAAACTCTAATCGCTTTAAAGTTAAACAATATATCTCATTTTAAGATATAAATTTGCATGACAATATGAGATGAACAAATTATAAAAAAGTTAAAATAAAATAAAAAGGCAAATAGTCTTTTGAAAATGCATCCATCCATTCCACCCTTTATTCATAAAATAAAATTAGCAATTGATAGAATAATTCATAAAGGCAACCTTTTCCTCATATGATAATTATAAAACTAGCTGCAAGCTTTTGGCGAAAACATGTTTAGAACATGAAATAGAAAGCGACGGCAGCTGCTCCGACACCGCCCATAGTCGAGACCTCGAGTGTAGCACCTTTGCCAGGACTAGGAGCAGAAGCCATAGGTGGAGAGCTACCACTGATACCACCTGCAGCAGCTCCAAGTGCACCTGCGGGACCTTCTGGTGCACCCGCTAAACTACCATCAGCACCTTTGGGTGCCGAGGCCGGTGAACTGCTGGCCTTAGAGCCGGCGGCAGAAATCTTGCCTACAAGAGCAATTAAGACCAAAGCCAGAACAACATTTTGGTGTGACATTTTTTATTAGGGTGTTGATTAAGGAGAAATGCAGTTTTTCTCTAAAGTTTATTTTATTAACAATAGAGAATCACCGCACATTGAAAAAGGGTAATGCGAGCAATTTATATAGATATTTAAATTCTAAATCGAGGAGTTTTAGTTGCATAATTCAAGGAATGTTTGTTAAATGTTAACGGTTAAAATAAATTACATCAATGAAATAGATTAAATTTTGGGTTCTTTAGTTAATTTTCCTTTAATTTTATCTAATTAAATTCTTAATATTTCATTTGAAATAAGGTCTAAATTAATTACAATTCAAATGATTGGGGTTTATTTGGCAACAACAGAAATACAAGTACTCTTAACCTTAATAAACATTTCAATAGAAATAGTGTTTGTTTGAACACAATAAAGCATAGGGACTTATTTAACAAAAGTAAGCTAATTCAAGGGTTGTTTTAGTATTTTAGTCATTGCTTCATTTGTTGTTTGATTTTGCTTCTAAGGCGTATATAGTTAATCAAATTATTAGGAATATTTTCGTCCATTGTGGGAATCATCTCTATAATAAAAATTAACATTTTTATTTATTATTAATGTATAATTATAATTGAAATTGTATTTAAAATATTATATGATTTTATTATATATTTGAATAACAATCATATTTCATGCATAACATTTTTTTTGTATATATATGTACAACAACACCAATTGGATTAAAATCTAATAATTTAATTTAAAGGTACAATGATCTTTTTAATATTTTTTTTAATAATTTGATATATATATATATAAGAATATTAAACGTTTAAATATATTCCATCTATATTTTTTTAATAATATATCAATGACAATATTAACCGAATTAAATTCAATAGATATAATTAATTTTAAATTTAATATATTCCTTTGATGTATGATTTAATATATCCGATTTTGTGTCTAAATTATTTAAAAGTTGATTATTTACATGGTTATCAAAACCGGATCGGATCGGCTAGTTCGATCGGTTGAACCGGGAACCAGTTGCATGTCCGGTTCAGTCAACTTCCAAAACCAATTTTACAATTAACCGGTAGAATCGACTGAGAACTGGTAAAATCGATGTGAACTGGCAAAACCGGTGTGAACCTCCGGTTCTGTTTTTTTTATAAATAAATCAAACGACGTCGTTTGTTTTAAATTTTTTTGGAATTTGATTAACGGTTAATTCGGTTCGAAATCAGTTAATTAACCGAATTAACCCTTAAATATTTTTAATTTTTATTTTCACCTCCATAATATACTGCCCCCACTTCCTTTATGTGCTCATCGATTATCAATTATTTTTTGCCTTGATTTGTGTAAGGTATAGGCACGAAATGGGCAGGTGGAGCATGGGCAAAAGTGTATAGTGGAGCATGGGTGAGGCAGCAGCATGGGGCTACTCTTTTGAAGGGTTGGGAAGCATGATATTAGTCTTTAATTAAAAAAATATCAAAACTAAATACAAATGTTTGAATTAAATTAATTAGATATTATTTACAATTAAATATTATTTAAATTAATTGTAAATTGTTTTTTAAATTTAAAAATATTAAATTCTAAAATTCTAAAATAAAATTGGTTAATTTGAAAATTAACCGAATTAATCGAAATTTATTCGGTTCTGTTAATACTTTCAAAAAAAAGTTCGGTTAATTCGATTAAGGGTATTTCGGTTCGGTCGGCCACCATTTTAACCGAATGAACACCCCTAATTTTTTCAGCCCCAAATTTATTTTCTGATTTTAGTTATATAATTATATTTATTATTTAATATATTTTACCTTAAATATTATGTTGTAGTTGATTTGAATCATTTTGTTTCACTTGATTTTATGATATTTAACTTATATATATTATGACTTGTGATATTTTTATACTTTTTAATATTATAAACTTAAAAAAAGTGTTATATATATATATATATATATATTAATATTGCTTTGAATATTATGTAAAATTTTAAAAAAATATTATTTATATAAACCGGTTTAACCCGGTTGAACCAGTACCTTCACTATTTAAGGTCCGGTCTGATTTTAAAAACATTGATTATTTATGTAAGATTTGTATTTGGTACACTCGTAAAAGTTACTAACAAGGCCCTAATAAAAGTAACAAAAGTTGATATCGAGATTCAAACCAATATAAATAAGAGTGTAAATAAATACAACTAAAGTCAAATTAATACAAAGTACAATAGAGTAGAAAATCACACATAATGATATTTAAACCCATAATAAATTTGAAAGAACTCATTATAGATATTCACATATGATATAATGAAATTTAAATTTTGATTCTTATAAATTTAGTGTCTTAACCTTATCCACACAATCAAATAAGAATTCGACTGATACAATTCAAAACGACATAATATTAATAACAACATGATTCTGATATTAAATAAGGAGGATCCTTTTCATAGTGAGTCTTTATAATATTCGATGTGAATTGATAGATCACTAAATCAAATACTGATAATTAAAATAAAAACTTAACGAATAAACTTCGTATTCAATGTGCACCAATCCATTTCATTTATTTGTTAGTAGTAAGTAATTCATACAAAGCTCAACATAATTTATAAAGGCATCCTCGTGGCATTCTTAAACGTATTTAAAACATAAAATAGCCAGCAACGACGACAGCTCCAACTCCTGCAATAGTCGAGACCTCAGGTGTGGTGCCACTGCCAGGACTAGGGGCCGAAGCTTCAGAATGAGAACCGGCACCACTTAAAGTGGATTCAGGTGAACCCGCAAGGCTGCTAGCACCGCCAGGTGCAGGTGCAGGTGAGGTAGAGGCCTTAGATCCGGCGGCGGAAACCAAGCCGACGAGGGCGATCAAGACCAAAGCAAACACAGCGATTTGGCGGGCCATCCTTTTATCTAGTAATTTGGACTTGGTGTTATTGGGAAGAATTAAAAAGGAAGAAAAGTTCGGCGACGAAAAATCGCAGTTTTTCTCTAAGGTTTTTTGTATTAACGATAGAGAATTACTGCGTAAAGAATAAAAATGATTGTTGATTTGAGTATTACGAGATCCATCATTTATAAGATAGATTATATGAATAAATTTCGGGCTACCGTTCATTTTTTTTCTTTTACATAAATTAAGTAGATTAAATTTCGGGTTATCATTTTCTCCTACATTGATGGTTGGGTTTTAGAAATATTTTATTTTATTATTTAACTCATAATTGATTAATAATGTAGCATGGTATGTATAAGTTAAAAATTAATAAATATTAAATTTTATTATATGCAAGATGTGGATGAAAAAATATTTCATATAAAAAATATATTTACAGAAAACTATACAATACAAAATCCATCAAATGGTCTCAGTGGTTAAAGTGAGTATTGTTCTTCTTTGAGGTTTTGAATTTGAGCAGTTGTGTCTACAAAGTGTGTGTGTATTGTCGATGGCTAAGAAAAAATTTGAACAAATACTACCTTATAATCACTGACTATTTCAAAGAAAATATTTAATGAATGATAATAAAAGATAAATGATTTATGTATAAATTTATTAATTTTATGTTCGATAATGAAATAGTAAATTTTAATTATTTTATATATAAATGAGAAAACTATAAATCCAAGTTGAAAAATGGCATAAAAACAAAAAGTCCAGCAACATTAATATTTTTAACAATTGTACATTTAAAGTTGTCAAGTTCAACAAAAAGGAATGTTAAAGACATTAAACTAAAATTGTATGTAATAGTATAGAAGTCACAACATCAGTTATATTAGATATTATAAATAGCTAAACTAGAACACATGAGTTAATTTATTTAAGTGGTTAAATGAATTATTTTTTTTAGGTCACGAGTTTGAGCATCAACGAATGCAAGGGTGATTAAGCGTTCATTGTTAATTGATTGAAAGTGCTTAGAAAAGATATTAATTTGTGATTAATTTGGTTTTATAAAAAATAGTTAAACTAAAATGAATAACTAAATATGTTTTGGAATTGAAATATTAATTTTTTTTTTTAAAATGATTTAAATTTGAATAGTTACGTTTATAAGGTACGTGTGCGCTGATAGAATATATATATGTTATCAGTTAATTAAAGAAAATTTTAAATAAATAATATATAGTAATTATCTAATACAATTTCAAAAAAATAAATAAATGTGTTTGGATCCAAACACAACTTTAATGTTACTGTGAGAAACGGGCTTAAGCCTAAACAAATACAGACAGCCAAACAAAGTCCAAAGATATAAGAGAGAAATGAAATCACTGGTTCTTTTAGGGCATTCAAAATACAGAGCAAAACGTGAAGCCAGCCAGCCCTTATATGACTGAAACACTGAAGAAGAAGAAGCAGTAGATAAAGCTTTTGAAGAAATGGCGTTGGCTTTCGATGAGTACGGGAGGCCCTTCATTATACTCAAAGAGCAAGACCAGAAAACCAGGCTGAGAGGGATCGAAGCTCAAAAGGCCAACATTGCCGCCGGTAAAGCCGTATCTCGGATCCTCCGAACCTCTCTCGGGCCCAAAGGCATGGATAAGATTCTCCAAAGCCCAGACGGAGATGTCACCATCAGTTAACTCCTTTCCACGTCTTTCCTTTTTGTTTTTTCTGTTAAATAGCATTAAGCTTCTGGTCACTTGATTAGGATTTGAAAATGATTTTCGGTTATGGATCTGTTTGATTTCGAGCTTCGAAATGAGAAGTTAGTTAAAGTAAGCTATTTGGTGATTTTAGCAGTTCGTAGTTACTTCATTGAGCTTGCTAGTTTTTTAACTTTGCTAACATAAAGTTATAAGCTTAATGTTTCTGTAGAAAGCTTTGTGGAGTTTATATTTCTGGATGTTATATTTTTTGGTGAAGTTATATGCTAAATGATGTTCAAAGTCCCCTGATATGTTTTTCTTCTTTGTTTGATGGATTTTTTTCAGCAAATGATGGGGCGACAATATTGGAACAGATGGATGTTGACAACCAAATTGCTAAGTTGATGGTTGAACTGTCTAGGAGTCAGGATTACGAAATTGGAGATGGAACAACTGGTGTTGTTGTCATGGCTGGGGCACTTCTAGAGCAGGCAGAACGGTTACTAGAACGTGGGATTCATCCCATACGGATTGCAGAGGGGTATGAAATGGCTTCGAAAATTGCTGTTGAAAATTTGGTGCACATATCTCAGAAGTTTGATTTTGGAGCAACAAATATAAAGCCTTTGGTTCAAACTTGCATGACCACTTTGTCCTCTAAAATGTAAGTTCCGTAGCTCTTTTCTGTGGTCTATTGCTGTAATTTACGTTTTCTGTTGCCCTTAACAATTCTCAGAGCCCAATGATGGACTAGAAACATTCATGTCACAACTAAATAGGCACTATACTAACTTATTTTTGCTTCAGTTTTGTCTTCTATAAGGATTTAATCATGTCTAATTTGTTTCAAGATGGTGCTTTTCTGTCTGAAGGTTAATTAATTAATATGTATATGCCATCTATCCTACTTTGTTGCTACTTGTCTGAGTCTCCACCAATAGGATTTTCCATATCAGGTTTCATGATCATGGTGCGCTGTATTACATATTTCGTCATGTATTCTTGTTTGCAATTGAATAAAAATTTCCCTTAAGACAATACTTTGATCAGTACAAGGTTCCATTAATATTCCCTTTAGCGCTTTATTTCATGGAAGCTGTTAAACAAATTGCAGGTGGTAATATCATTTTGTATGGAAAGAGCACTGTTTGTAAGTGTTTGTTCAATGCCTTACCTTGCTAGCATGTTGGTTAATTGTGATCAGTAGTCCTTTGGGTTTACTGGCCCTCAAATAAAATCTCTGTTGATTTATTTTTTATATTCACAAATTAGAAATAGTCAGGGTTGTTTTGGCTGTGGCTAGGGTGTTTATGCAGGACCATTGAACCATCTGAATTATGCAATGCTTCAATTGGAATAGCTCTTGCTGTGAGCTAGCAGTTCATGAACTTGTTAGTATTGAGAAGCCAATTTGTAACCATTTTCGTTGTTTTGCAGTGTGAACCGATGCAAGCGCCATTTGGCTGAGATTTCTGTTAAAGCAGTTATTGCTGTTGCTGATCTAGAAAGGAAAGATGTCAATTTAGATATGATCAAGGTCGAGGGTAAAGTTGGGGGGAAATTGGAGGATACTGAATTAATATATGGAATTACTGTTGATAAGGACATGAGTCATCCACAGATGCCAAAGCAAATTGAAGATGCAAAAATTGCCATATTAACTTGCCCATTTGAGCCCCCTAAGCCAAAAACCAAACATAAGGTGGAGATTGATACAGTGGAAAAGTTTCAAACTTTGCGTCTGCAAGAGCAAAAGTATTTCGATGACATGGTTCAGAAGTGCAAGGTATGGTTGCAGATTTTTTTTTCAATTTAGGTTGATCTTTCACATTCCGTTTCTTTAGATTATTCTCTCTGGGGAGACGGGGAAGCAGGTGGATGATTGTTACAGTCATCTTTGCAACTTTGGGGTAGACAACTTTTCTGATAGTATTGTTGTTGCAGGATGTTGGTGCAACCTTGGTTATCTGTCAATGGGGCTTTGATGATGAGGCAAATCATTTATTAATGAACCGAAACTTGCCTGCTGTCAGATGGGTTGGTGGTGTGGAGTTGGAGCTCATAGCAATAGCTACAGGTTTGTTCTGTTTATCTTATTTTCATTTGAAGACATGGTAACCAAATTCATGATAGGTAAATTTCTAGATGCTGATATGGTGTGTAACCTTATGAGCAATCTAATTTTATTTATCTTTATAGGTGGAAGGATTGTGCCAAGGTTCCAGGAGTTGACCCCAGAAAAGTTGGGAAGAGTATGTTGATTCTATTATTTCCTCATCTATATTACATTGCCTAGAAATATGTGTTGGATAAATTCCTTCCTAAGAAAATGCTTTTACGCAATAGATAGAGGACTACTGGTGAAGCTAAAGTGAGATGAACATTTGATCACTTTTCGTTTAACCACCAAAGCATTGCTCATTTGGACTAGCAATTTAGGTTTGATGAAGTATTTACATTGTAAAATTTCATCACAAACACTTATTTGTTTTTTTAACTCTATTTTTTAGGCTGGTATGGTCAGAGAGAAGTCTTTTGGCACCACAAAAGATAAAATGTTGTACATTGAACACTGTGCAAATTCAAGGGCTGTGACCATATTTATTCGTGGAGGTTGATTCTGTTTCCTTCTGTTTGATTTATGTTTGATTGATAATAACGAGTCATCTTTTATTCAGTAATCGTAATTTGATTTTTTATACTGGTTAGGCTTAAGCCTAGTCTCAATTGTAAGAGTTGTTGATTTATTCTTAGAGATAGTATCTAGTGCCAAAAAAATTCTTGGACAGTTTTAGAGCATGGATGTTTTTACCAGCCAACTCTTAAAACCAAATAAACAAATGGAAAAATGACTTGGTTGAAGAGAACTTACTTGACATGTTGACATGTGAAGAGATCTCTTGTGTCCTTTTTCTCGGTATGCAATTTATTCGCTTCATTCTTGTTTTTAGAGATCTTTATTCTTGATCAGTCTAGAACTGCTTGGCCATTCACTTATATTTATCATAAAACAAAGCTATGCAAGGATTTACTCTTTACTTTTGTAATGTTGTAGAGAGCCAAAACTAAAAAAAAGAATATTCCAAGGTGTAATGCAAGCTGAATAAATATGGATTACTCATATAAATGTCATAAAAGCTTTCCTTTGTTGTTGATAATTAGGAAACAAGATGATGATAGAGGAGACAAAGCGCAGTATCCATGATGCATTGTGTGTGGCCAGGAATCTCATCCGCAACAATTCTATTGTCTATGGTGGTGGATCAGCTGAGATTTCTTGCTCAATTGCTGTAGAGGCAGCTGCAGATAAATATCCAGGAGTTGAGCAGGTAAGAAGAAGCGTGTGTAATCCTCTAAATACCTTAACATTCTTTTTTGTTGAAGTAATTATATAACATCAAAATTTTGTTTCCAACCGCAGTATGCAATCTGGGCATTTGCAGATGCACTAGACTCGGTCCCCATGGCCCTGGCTGAGAACAGCGGTCTCCAACCTATTGAGACACTATCAGCAGTGAAATCTCAGCAAATCAAGGTAATTACTACAATTTGTATGATGATACCTTTGATCTTATATAATCTCACCACCATGTAGCATATCGTTAATTTTGTTTTTCATGTATCTGTGTCCAGGAGAACAATCCACACTATGGAATAGACTGCAATGATGTTGGGACTAACGATATGAGGCAGCAAGACGTCTTTGAAACGCTGATCGGGAAGCAGCAACAGATCTTACTGGCAACACAAGTTGTGAAGATGATTTTGAAAATCGACGATGTCATTTCTCCATCAGAATACTGAGATATAATACCGAAACTGTTTCACCCTGAAGGGTTACCTTGATTTCGATTGTTTTGTTTGGTTCGCTCCGGAACAATTTTTGTTCACTTGAGAGAAACATGTTTTACTTGTTTTGGAACTGCCAAACCCTTGGTTGAAGTAGGATGAACTCATCTTATTAACAATTGTTGCTTATTTCTTTCATTTATTACTACTTTCAACATCTAAGATCAATGGGGTCCTTTTATATAACAAGAGTATATAGCTTGTACGATTGTTGATTACGAATCTTGAATATGTTTACATCATCAAAAGACAATATAAAAGAAAAGAAAAACTAAAAATTTACCAATTAATATACACAAGATACATGAATCTATTGATCAACTGTTGTGCCTTATTGTTAATTACTTCCATCTTCCATTTTTCAATTCTTTCAATCTTTTACTGTATTTATTGCTATTGGTTCCCAATGCATGCCTAGCAACTTCGCCCCTTCTTGCAAACCAGTACACCGGCTCCTAACGTGAGCGAGCCGACGAGCGAAGATGGTCTGGCACTCAGGCTTGATGCCTTTGCATAAACCGATGATGATGTGAGCGAGCCGACGAGCGAAGATGGTCTGGCACTCAGGCTTGATGCCTTTGCATAAACCGATGATGCAGCGGTGCCGGTTTGTCTGAAAAACGCTCCGTTCAACATCAAATCCCCACTTGACCTCCAATTCCACTTCTTCCATCTTCTCCTTGGAGCATCCTCGTGTTTAGTCACTTCTTTACTATACTTGCAACAAAAATGATTAATCTATACCCCAAGAGTTGCAAAGGTTACAATTAACATTATCTAATCTATTGATATTTTTGTCTCTAATTTGGGTTCGGACTATCTCTTTAATGGAAGATAGGAGTTGGTCGATTTCTCTTGATTCTCGATGAAAAATTCTTCTATTTCTCTCCTCCATGAACGAAGTCCAAGCAAGCTTCAAGATAGTAGTAATGAGGGATTTACCTTTCCATTCTTCACAAGCCCAGCTAATAGTTTCATCCCATGTCATGTGAGAAACTCGCAGGATATATTTTTTAGGTCGAGTGAATAGTATATATTTTTCGTGTCGAGTCAAATTCGAATAAAATATATATATTTTTCAGGTCGAGTTGACCAAAAACCTAACCTCATTTGATCCGATGTCATCCCTACTTCCCAAAAACTTCAGGTGGTCTGCACCAAAATGAACAATTAATTATCCAACACCATAAATGAGTCATATCGATAATTCGATATATTAAAATGTAATCACTAAGTTACTAATTCTTGTTACATTAATGACACAATATATTAACAAAATTGATTAGTTTTTAATTTGACAATAGTTTAACCCTTACATTTTCTTTTTCACCTTCTTCCTTTTGTGATAAGGTTATATCTGAAGCTTCGACTGAACATTAAATTGGACAACCAAAAATATAATTATTCGTCTAAGGAGAGAGGTAAAATTCTAGCAAGTTGTTACAAAATTCATCTGCACCCTCTACTTAATCTATTATTCCATCAGTCTTTACCATTGTTGACCCCGCATCCCAACTATTACCAATTTCTTCTATTCGAGTCATCTTCATCCTCAATCATACTTTTGTTCTTTACTCAAAGCACTGAAAAACAAAGAAGAAGCGTTCACGTTATCAAACCATCGACGATTTATGGACTCTAATTGAAAATTAAACTAAAAGTTTACGCTTAATGTAAATCATTTAAATATTCGATGACAAAATCAATACACAATCTAAAGTTCATTACTAACGGTGTCATTTACCCTTTTAAATGGAAAGCAGGCAGTTTTGATGGATGATGTCGTGCTTGGACACTGCAACTCCACCTGTCGTCTCCACAGCATTTACCTACACAAAGTACCCCACCTTTCTCTTCGCCAAGAAAACAAAAACTAAACAAAGTAAAATAAAAATAGTGTTTTCATCGTCTCTCTTCATTTCATGCAAAGCTTGAATGAAAACCGCTAAGCCAATGTCTTTTATATCAATTATAATGCTGTAATTTTCATTATATAACGATCTAGGGTTTATTCTTAGCTCATAGAATCGGTCAAATAACCCAGTGTTTTTTCTGCAAATTTTCATTGAGAACAGAACTAAAACAATAGTGTTATTTGGCATGTTTTTTGTTTTCATGCAAGTATGAAAATTACTAAAACGATACCTTCTATATTGAAGTACTTTTCCTTTCCTCTCTTGCTTTTCGTCTTTCTCCAGAATCACCGCTCCCAAGCCTTACTTGCTACCATTGCCACCGCTGTGAACCACCCTTCTCCTCCTTCTTCTGCCGTTGTCTCCTCCGGTGACCTCAAAATTAGACGTGGCTACACCACCTACGACGCCTACATCCAACGCCAACTCAACAAAACCCTGAATCCGAAACTACGAAAAATATGGACGACGCGTGATTGGGACCGCAAGGTCAACGTCTTCTCCAGATTCTTCAAAGAACTGATGGACGAGAACCTGTTATCCAAATCCTCGAAATCTCTCTCCATCGGCGCCCGCGTCGGCCAAGAGGTGGCGGCTCTCAAACTCATTGGCGTCTCCGACGCCGTCGGCATGGACCTCGTCCCTTTCCCGCCGCTCGTCGTGAAAGGTGACTTCCATAATCAACCTTTCGACAACGACACATTCGATTTCGAGTTCTCCAACGTCTTCGACCACGCGCTTTACCCGAAAAAGTTCGTTGCGGAGATCGAACGGACACTGAAGCCTAACGGTGTCTGCGTTTTACACGTGGCATTGTCGACACGAGGAGATAAGTACTCGGCTAACGATTTGTATAGCATTAAACCGTTGACTAAGCTTTTCCGGCGATCGGATCTGGTTCGTGTACGTAAAGTTGACGGATTCGGGTTGGACACCGAGGTTGTCTTTCGTAAGAAAAAAAAATGATCCAAGGGTGACGATTTGATTTGTTATTATTTAGTTTTGATAAAACTAATTAATAGGATAATTAATTAATGGGTAAACTACTGATTTGGTCACTTTTGTTTAAGTTTTATAAATTTATGATAATTAGATTCAAAAAACATAAGTTTTAGTCAATTTCGTCGCAAGCGGCGGAGAAGATATCAGGTTTGGTGAAGAAAACATATGGAAAAAAGGGGTAAATTGATATTTTATCCCTAAATTATTTTGGGTTTACAAAAAGACCCATGATTAGTAATTTATCTAAAGTTCAAGAGTTAAAATAAAAATTAAACCTTTTTACTAAGGTTCCATGTCATCCAACCCAAGGCAGCTAATGTCTAAGTGATTAAATCTTAATAAAACGATAACGTAAGTGACCAAAACTTATGTTTTTTGAATCTAGTGACTATAAGTTTTATAAACTCAAACAAGAGTGACCAAATCTGTAGTTTACCCTTAATTAACTTTTGGGATAATATCACCTATGACCCTTTTATTTTAACGAAAATTCAATGTAATACATTTTTTTAATAATTTGTTCAATATGATACTTATACTTTGCTAAAATATTTAGTATGGTATTTATATTTTTAAAATGTTCAATACAGTATCTAATATTGTCAAAATATCTACATAGTACCTGAATTATCACTTTGGGTAGCATTATAGTACATGAGTTAATTGTATCAAACATTTCAAATTTTTCCCAATATTTAGAACATTCTGATTAAATCCTCCAACTATCAATATTATTTTAATCAAATACTTTAATGGAAGTGTTACAATGCCATTGTCAATGCTTGAAAACAAAATTAGCAAAAGAGTTCATAATTAAATTTTAAAAATAAACATGGAGGGGGAAAAGTACATCTCAAGAAGTTGAAAGAAGCCAAAAGAACATTGATCCTAGCAAACTTTGAACGACATCAACAGAAAAATCAGAGTAGACCCAAAGGGTGTCTTCATTCCTTCTTCCTAGAATCTTTGAGTTGTCCCCTCTTTCGGATGCCGAGACAAAAGCGCAAACGCCAAGCATCAACCACAGTCTCCGGCAGTGAATGAGCCAAGCCCCAGAGAATGGAATGGGGCCAGTAGGGCGTGCAACGAGGTTCATAGCCTATCCACCGCATGGCTGCTTGAGCATACCCGTCTGTCGATGGAACAAAGAAGGATGATCTTCGGATTGATGCCATTTTTGTTGCAACGTACAATGGAACCTGCATTAGGAAACCCCTTGATTGATCAGAGAATGGCAATGCATAAGAACTCAGCAGTTCTCGATATTTTCGACAATGTTAAGGTAAAACACCTGTGTAAAACTATAGCAATTGTCACTTTTATCCTGTAATCATACAAATGGATTGACTTCCTAACCCGATTTAGCGATAATCCTCCCTCTTGTTTTGTCAATAGAACACACTGTAATCTTATATGTCGAAACTGAACAATTTCGTTAACATTTACGAAGCTAATTCACACGAGTCATCAGAAATACATACAGTTTTGATTCACACGAGTCATCAGAAATACATACAGTTTTGGTTCCATGTGCTAGTCGTACAACTAATATCATAAACTAATTTCATAAAAAAGAAAGAAAATTGCATAAAAACATTGTTGAACCGGCTTTCTTGTTCACTGTCTCGTACTGTAAGCAGACTTGCTTAATATACTCAGAACACTAACACAGTAACACCCTATGATAAGAGAGTAAAAGTGATCGAAAAGATTGCAGGGTCCGAAGCAATACATCGTTTCTTCTCCCGAATGAAATTAGCTAATATAAACAATTCAATATTCCAGATTTCTTAAATAACATCATATATTATTGACCATAGCAAGTTCAACAAGAAAATCAAAATTTTGTCAACATTTATGGTCAAGTAGATAAAATGAAATGCCTTGAGAGACAAGAAAACAAGATAATAATGACATATACCTAATTTCTAATAACTTGACATGTAAGAATCAATCTTTTAGAACAAGAACAAGAACAAGAGTCCATTTTCATTATATATTAGCAAATCAGGTTGTTTACTGTTAGAATACACTTCTAGTGATCAAAATTTGAAATCTTGAAAATGCATAACCAAGAGATATAGTAGACCTATGCTATTCGAACTCTAAAGAACCTCGATATACATGAAAAAACTTTGAAAAGACTAACCATACTTGTACCCGACACTCTCAGCCGAATCCAAATAACACCGATGTTAGCAAATCATGTTGTTTATTGGTAGAATGCTTTTCTAGTGATCAAAATTTGAAATAGTAAAAGCGCATAGCCAAGAGATATAGTAGACTGATGTTACTCGAACTCTAAACAAACCTCAAAATACATGAAAAAAACTTAGAAACGACCAACCATCCTCGTATCCAACATTCGCCGGAATCCAAATAACACAAATTTAGACTAATCCATATCTGGAATCTCACCTATGGGTTCGTGTTTCAACCTTTCAATGTAAATCATAGGCATGTATTAGCAAACATTACCTGACACTGAACATCAATCCCACTGTTCTTGTATTCAACATAAAGGCACCTAGAGAATTGATCAATATACCTGAAAACAATCCCGAGAGAACCATCAACTTTATTTTCTAAAAACAATAAAACCCCAAATTTAACTATGCAAAAATGTCAGAACACTCACGCCTTAGTAGCAGCATAAACAGCATAAAGTGGATCAGAAGGTATAACAATGGCAGCACCAGAGCCGATATTCACAATGGCACCTTTCTTCCTCTTCACCATCCCAGGCAAAACAGCTTGAGTAACCTTTGTGGTACCTTCAACATTAACCCTAATCAAATCCCTCAACAGTTCCTCGTCAACCTCGTGGAAGAACCTGGCGTAAGGATACGAGATCCCAACGTTGTTAATCAGAACCCCAACATCCAACCCTTCAATGGTTTCTTTTATCCTCTTCACGCCTTCATCGAGATCGCCGGTGAAGTCGACAACGACGGTCTTGATCTGAATCTTGCCGTGCTTGGCCAAGATCGAATCAGAAACATCTTTGAGTTTATCAGGATTACGACCCACCAAGACGAGATTAAGCCCCTTCTTAGCCAGCTGAAAGGCGAAACCTTTGCCTATGCCATCGGTTGGACCAGTGACCAGACCCCATGAGCCATATTTCTTGAGGTTTTTTCCCGGTCTGAGGAAATTGACCCAGACCCATTTGAGGAAAACAATTGAGGATTTGAAGATTGATAAAGAACCTAAAGTGAAAAGGAAAATGACCCAGAAAGGCTGAGCCTTGAGAGCATCGAAGAAACAGGTTTCCATGGATAATGACGAGGGAAAAAACTTGAAAATTGTGTGAAAATAACAAGGGAGATCTAAGGGGGAATCTTTAGCAAATCATGTTAGGCAGAAACGGTTGGGGGAAGCAGGATAGGATTGATGAATTTATAGATGACTAAGGCAAGAAGTGGGTGAAGCAGATGAGCTGAAAACCACCTTAGTTAACTACTTCACACGACACTGTTTAATGAAGCCTGGGAGAGCTTATCATGTCCTGTTTTGACTCATCAACTATTATTTTGGCAAAAGGGTCCTAAAAGTTTTCCTAAAATATCAATTAAATCTCTAAACTTTCTACATCCAGTTTATCAAATAAACTCCACAATTGATTTGATTGTTAAATGCTACATTTGAATAAAATATATTAATTTAAATATGGTTTAAGGGTACACAACTTAAAAAAAAACATTAATGAAATTTGTTATACCTTCAAAGATAGACTTTAAAAAAAATTAAGTTTCCGTCAAATACAATTTGTAGAAATTGTTAGCCTTCCATTAGTCAAGGTCGTCGGACATTCCTTTTCACTTATTAGAGCCTAAGCAAGCCTATATCCTTCGAATATAGGCCTTTTAATCAAATATAGTACATAGACAAAACATTTGATAGGTTCACATGATGATTTTTTAGAACGAAATTCGAAATATGATTATTAAATTTATTTAATCTTTTAATATATAAATAATTATGATTATCTTATGTCTGACGCCATTAACTAAGATCACTATAAATACACCCAAGACTTATGAGAGGTCGAAATTTTCACAATTTCCTTTGACCTTCGTCTTCTTTTTTTTTATCACTTACGTCTCATGGAGAAATACCGCCCAACGACTGTTCACTTGTCGACCATGATTCTTTACCTAAATCAGAAGGAGTAAACCATCAACAACTAACGAGATAAACTTATTTTCATCAATAATTTTTTTTTATTTTACCCAATCAAACCCTCAAATAAAAAATAAACTAAATTATTAAAACGAAAAATTAAACCAATTAGATTATTTGATCTATATTAGTCATTAAATCTTAATATTTTTGTGAGATAATATAAACATTGCATCCGAAAACACAATCTATACCTATAGATGATAGATAATAATATATTGTACGTACATTAAGTTTAAGCTTATGTGTGCTTGATCCAATTCTAATTAATTCACATTGATTGTTTAGTTAGCGTGGGGCTTGATTCTTGAATGTAGGCAGTTACGCTACCGGACTTGATCCCATCACTTTCCTTCATGAGTTAGCTGATCCTACAAGTTGGCCACGAATCACAACATTGTACTCTTTTATCGGTTTAGATATACAAGGGTACGAACCAAATGAGTTCAATGATTAAGGTCTTTAAACTGATATTATCTTATACTCATATCAAATTAATAAAAAAATATACAATTGAATACAAGATAATATATATGTAAAATTTATTTTATAAATAATTTAAAATTAAAGGATATTTTGATTATTTTAACAAAATTGTCTTTAAGAATATGATCACACCTTATATAAAGTTTAAATCAAATATAAACTGTTTTGTTGAATGAATTTAACATCTTTTATTTGATCTTTTAGTTGCCCCCACGCTAACTGAACAATCAATGTGACAATTATTGCCATGCATTTCACTAATATTGTATATAAATTAGAATTGAAGCAACCACACATAATGTATTTATGTATGTGATATGAACATTGATTCAATTATATATATATATAAACAAGAAGTGTGAATTTTAACCTTAATGGAATATTTTAGTTTTCTTCTCTGCTTTTGCTGTGATCTTGCAGTTTCAGTAGAATCAACCGCAACGTTCCCACCGGTCCTTTTCTCGTCCCTAGCTATATTGAATATGGCCGTATTACCTTCAGCCGATGCCGGATCGTTCACATCCCATTCCCCAAATTTCGGCAGTGGCTGCAAAAACATGAACAAATTACTCATCAAATCAAACCCAGGAAGAAAAACAATGATAAAACATTTCTGGGTTTCACTTTTTTCCAAGAAAAACAATAACAACAACAAAAACCCAGAAAGGAAGGAGTGAAAGAGAATCTTACAGAAGCCATGGTAGAAGAAGAGCAGGCGATGAAACGAAAGAGAGAATTTCGTGGGGATTAATTGGGTTTTTATGATAATTAAGATGAGAGAAATTCAAAGATCAGTGGAATTTATATTGGGGTTTGGGGTATTTTAAAATTGTTGAGGGGAAATTAAAAATTAAGATTTTGATTGATTTTCCCACTCGGATTACACGTCTGAGACGCGGGATGTTTCAATTTCCATTTTCCTTTTTCTTTCTTCAAAAAGAAAATTTTAGCTTTTCAACGAACAAGACTGCCTTTGTTCTTTGCTTTACCGCGGTATAAACTATTGTTTTAGTCAAATCATGTCATTAGTACCTCTAGTATACTTAAATTATGAATTTAATTCTTATATTCTAATTTGATCCATTTTAATTCTTATAATTTTGTAATTTTAATCTTAACCCTCGTAGTGCATGAATTATTGTTTGACTTGACGTATTAACATACTTACCATTTTTATAATCACAAAAACTAACAATAGAATTTGACTTAACATATTAACATATAGAAATTTAAAAAATTAAAAGTATAAGGACCGACACGAATCAAGCGACATTGGTAGTATATGAATTGTTGTTGTTCTTTAAGGTCATGGGTTCGAGTATCATGAATGTTAGGGGTGTGAGCATTCAATGTCAAATGGTTAAGAGCTATATTTGAATAGATGTCTTGTACTTACCCCAAATTAATAAAAAAAATGTACAAGGACTGAAAAATATTAAATTAGAGTGTAAGGATTAAATTCATATTTTATGTGTAGCACAGGGATTAATAGAAAAAAATGGCGGGCTTTAAAAATGATTGGATTATTAAATATAAAATTTATATAAAAAGTTTAAAGAATAAAAGTTTTCGATCTCACACCTCAATCTGACCCATTCTACTTCAAAAACAGTGCTGGCATTAGACGAGTCGAGATGGGTTTACTCACTTAACTTTTATATTTCATGTTTTCTCAAAGTATTTTAGATTAATATTTTTATAATAACTTTTGGTTGAAAACATTTTAAGTTTTAAATTTAAATTCCTTTCTTACTAAATCAAGTTAGAAATAATATTACAAAATAAATTAATGAAATCAAATTTTGACAGTCTAATCAGAAAATTATTGTTTTAAAAATAAAATCATCATGATTAATGTAATCTTTAAAATGGACGTTGTTTCTAAAGTTAACAATCCTTACAATCATCGTAATTAATGTTATCTTCAAAATAAACGTCGCTCCCTGAAATTAACAATTCTAAAAATTGAAGTGAAAAATAATAGAATTGTTGACTTTGAAGAAAATTAAAAAATTTGAACATTATAGAGAGAATATGAGAGAAATGTGTTAGATTAAAATCTATAATTATGGGTACATATATATAATATACAATGTTATTATAAAGTAGTACATAAAGATTAAGTGATAAATTATGTTACATCTGTAGCAGGTATTAAAGTGTAAATACAATAAGTTGTATTTATAATTTGATGAGGGGCAAAATTATAAATACTTAATAAATTGATATAATATTTATTTTATATAAAGAGGTAGTGGTCCCTAATAAATATGTTAACTTGCATTACTCTTATCCTGAAAAGTTTTTAGGGCAAGAGCAAATTTATCTTCTTGAAATATCACAACTAAAGAAATACTTAAAATTTCAAACTATCGATTAATTCAAGTATGCTTCCTCATCTAGTATTCTACTCCTAATGATTTCATATAATTATATATTGAGTTCTTGATTTTTCATCTATTAGGATTTTGATACTTACAAGTGGTATCATCGTCTCCTTACGTTAAATCATTGAAAAATCATTTATTTATTTTCTGAATTGATTTATTTCCTAACAAGTGGTATCATCGTCTCGTTGTACTTAATTGATTTATTTTATGAATATTTCTCATTTTATCTTTTCATGTACCTCAATTCTTATTTTTCCAAACTCTGATTTAGCATCTCCACCGCTATCAATTTATCGTTCTCAAATCAAAAGAAATCTGACCCTAACTTCAACAAAATTATATTTTTAAAAAAGAGAAAATAACTTTAGTGACTAAAAATGTCTTATAATATACGATTTTAACCAACTTTTTTTGGATTTACCAAAATGACCAACTAAATCGCAATGCGATCGATAATTCGCAACGCGATCTCCGGTATCGCAAATCAGTTTCCAGATTCGCAATGCGAACTTCGACTATCGTAACGCGAACTTGGACTATCGCAATGCGATTTACATATTCGCATTACGATAGTCCAAGTTCGCGTTGCGATAGTCGAAGTTCGCGTTGCGATTTTTCAAATTCGTTGCGATAGTCGAAGTTCGCGTTGCGATTTATTCCAAATTCGTTGCGATAGTCGAAGTTCGCGTTGCGATTTATTCCAAATTCGTTGCGATAGTCCAAAATCGCAACTACTGGTGGTATTGCATTTGTTTCTTAAGAATTTTCTCTAAAAAGATAGTATTCGCGCGGACGTGTCGAAGACACGTATGATCACGACCACGGCTACGGCCCGAGACGAGACGGACGGCGGCGGCGGCGGCGCGCGAGAGTCCCCCTTATTCTCTATCACTCAACAAATGCAATACCACCAGTCGTTGCGATTTTGGACTATTTAAGTAGTAGTAAGAATTATGAATTTCATTAAATCAATTAAAATGATTGATTTTCATTAAGAGTTGCATTTACATTTTCAAGTATAATAATAATAAAATGATTTGAAAATAAAGATCGCATTGTGGAATTCGGGTTAATTTCCACCAATAATAACAAATTCACCTTGAAAACTATTATCTAGGTGACTAGTGTGAAAACGATTGTACTAAAAATCACCCCAAGGTAAATTCCCAAGAAAGATGAGGGGTCACAATGGTCCCTCTAAAACACACTTTCCTTAAACAGAACTACCAAGACAAGTAATTTTAATAAGACAATAATTAACAACAACTATACCCGACAATAGTTATTAAATAAACATAAAAGAGAACACCAAAATTTAACGAAGTTTTGCCAAAATTATGCCTATGTCCTCAAACACTACTAAAATAATATTTCACTAATAGAGAAAATATTACAAAGAGAGAAAGAGTATAAATAACCTTTAATAGTGAAGAAAGCTTATATTTGTGGGATGTTTAGTTAAGAAAGAGGAAAATTTTATTTATAACAAAAGAATTTCGACCAACCAACGTGGGACTCTGCAAAAAAAAAAACCAACACAAGCCGCATACTAGTGTGAGCACTAGAGAACTCTACGTTCTCCTAAAACCAATGAGACTCCATACATTACTTCTTCCACAGTTGCTATATTAAGCAAGAAAGACTCTATAAAAAGACTCTGAATATACATAAACTTCAACCAAGAAAAAATAATCATCTCCATTTGAGTCATATAAAAAAACAAGACGATGATTTTAAAGCAATTCTGTCAAGTTTTATTTGTTGCTTTCTACTTATCATTGTCATTTCCCTTTGCACATTTTCAGGATGTGAGCCCAAATCCATCCATCCTCCAACCACTTCCTGTAAAGTTGGATTCTGGTTCTTTTACGCATTCTGGTTCTTTTTCACAATCAAGTTCTTCTGCGGCTTCCCATTCTTTTTCGGGTTCACATTCTTTTTCTGCAAAACAAGACGATGGTCAGGGCTCTTCTTCTATATCGCATTCAAGTTCCGCTTCTGGCTCGGCCTCACATTCTAGTTCATCTTCACAAGCCGGCTCTTTTCATCATTTTGGTTCTTTCAAAGGTTCTGGCTCTTCTGCAGATCCTAATGATTCTAAAGGTTCTGGCTCTGTTGCGACTTCTCAATCTTCATCCGGTTCTGGGACTTCTGGTTCCTCTACAAGTTCCGGTTCTTCTTCAACTTCTGGCAATTCTAAGGGTCCTGGAGAATCCTCACAATCTAATTCTGTAAATCAAGGTGGTGTTGCAGGTCAAGGTTCTGCATCTTTCTCGCATTCAAGTTCAGCTTCTAGCTCATCCTCACGTTCTAGTCTGGCTTCACACTCAAGCACTTTTAATCATTCTGGTTCTTTTAAAGGTTCTAGCGCTTCTGCAGATTCTAATGATTCTAAAGGTTCTGGGTCTGTTGCGACTTCTCAATCTTCATCCGGTTCTGGGACTTCTGGTTCCTCTACAAGTTTCGGTTCTTCATCAACTTCTGGCAATTCTAAGGATCCTGGAGAATCTTCACAATCTAATTATGCAAATCAAGGTGGTGTTGCGGGTCAAGGTTCTGCATCTTTCTCGCATTCAAGTTCAGCTTCTAGCTCATCTACACGTTTTAGTTCAGCTTCACATTCAAGCTCTTTTAATCATTCTGGTTCTGTTAAAGGTTCTGGTGCTTCTGTAGATTCTAATGATTCTAAAAGTTCCGGGTCTGTTGCGACTTCTCAAGCGTCATCCGGTTATGGGGCTTCTGGTTCCTCTACAAGTTCTGGTTCTTCATTAGCTTCTGGCAATTCTAAAGGTTCTGATGAATCCTTACAATCCAATTCTGCAAATCAAGGTGGTGTTACGGGTCATGGTTCTGCATCTTTCTCGCATTCAAGTTCAGCTTCTAGCTCATCTGCACATTCTAGTTCAGCTTCACATTCAAGCTCTTTTAATCATTATGGTTCTTTTAAAGGTTCTGGCGCTTCTGCAGATTCTAATGATTCTAAAGGTTCCGGGTCTGTTGCGACTTCTCAAGCTTCATCCGATTCTGGGGCTTTTGGATCCTTTACAAGTTCTGGTTCTTCATCAGCTTCTGGCAATTCTAAGGGTTCTGAAAAATCTTCGCAATCCAATTCTACAAATCAAGGTGGTGTTGCGGGTCATGGCTCTGCATCTTTCTCGCATTCAAGTTCAGCTTCTAGCTCATCTGCACATTCTAGTTCATCTTCTAGCTCATCTGCACATTCTAGTTCAGCTTCACATTCAAACTCTTTTAATCATTCTGGTTCTTCTAACGGTTTTAGCGCTTCTGCAAATCTTAATGATTCTAAAGGCTTTGGGCCTATTGCAAATTCTCAATCTTCATCTGGTTCTGGGGTTTCTGGTTCTACGAATTTTAGTTCTTCATTAGGTGCTGGTAATTCAAAAGGTTCTGGTGCATCCTCACAATCCAATTCTGTAAATCAAGGTGGTATTGCGGGTAATGGCTCTACATCTTTCTCGCATTCAAGTTCAGCTTCTAGTTCATCTTCACATTCTAGTTCAGCTTCACATTCAAGCTCTTTTAATAATTTCGGTTCTTTTAAAGGCACCGGAACTTTTGTAGATTCTAATGATTCTAAAGGTTCTGGGTCTATTGCAACTTCTCAATCTTCATCCGGTTCTGGTTCTTTATCAGGATCTGGTGAATCCTCACAATCCAATTCTGCAAATCAAGGTGGTGTTGCGGATCATAGCTCTGCATCCTTCTCTCATTCAAGTTCAGCTTCTAGCTTATCGTCACATTCTAGTTCAGCTTTACATTCCAGCTCTTTAAATCATTCTGGTTCTTTTAAAGGTTCTGGCTCTTCTTCATATTATAATGATTCTAAAGGTTCTGGGGCTTTCGGTTCCTCTACAAGTTTTGGTTCTTCATCAGTTTCTGGCAATTCTAAGGGTTCTGGTGAATCCTTACAATCCAATTCTACAAATCAAAGTGGTGCTACCAGTCATGGCTCTTCATCTTTCTCACATTCAAGTTTAGCTTCTGGATCATCCTCACATTCTGCTTCTTCTAAAGGTTTTAGCTCTTATGTGGATTCCAACAATTCTAGTAATTTTGGTTCTACCGAGACTTTACAATCTTCATTAGGTTCTGGGGCTTCAAACTCCTCAACAAGTTCTGGTTCTTCATTAGGTTCTAGTGATTCCAAGGGTTCTGGATCATCCTCGCTTTCCAAATCTACAACTCAAGGTGGTGTTACAAGTCATGGTTCTTCATCTTTCTCACATTCAAATTCAACTTCTGGATCATCCTTACATTCCAGTTCTTTCGCACATTCTGCTTCTTCTAAAGATTTTGGCTCTTCCGCAGATTCCAAGGATTCTGGTTCTACTATGACTTCACAATCTTTATTAGGTTCTGGAGCTTCAAATTCCTCTGCAAGTTCTAGTTCTTCGTCAGATTCTAGCTATTCCATGGGTTCTGGTTCATCCTTGCATTCCAGTTCTGCAACTCATGGTAGTGCTACAAGTAATGGCTCTTCATCTTTTTCACATTCAAGTTCAGCCACTGGATCATCCTCACATACCAGTTCATTCTCGCAATCTGCTTCATCTGAAGGTTCCACTCATTTGAAGGGAAAAAGTTCTTCTAAGGCTTTAAACTCGACATCAGGTTCCGGTTCGAGGACTAGTTTTGGTTCATCATTAAATTCTAGTAATTCGAAAGGAGAAAGCTCTTCTAAGACTTTGAACTCTGCATCAGATTCTGGTTCCTCATTCGGTTCCTTGACAAGTTCTGGTTCTTCATCAGGTTCTAGAACTTCTAAGGGTTCTGGCTCATCCTCAGGTTCCAATTTTGCAAGTCATCGTGGCACTAACTCATTCTCACATTCCAATTCATCTTCTGGCTTATTCTCGCACGCCAGTTCATCTTCACACTCTGGTTTGTTTAACCATCTTGGTTCATTTACTAGTTTTGGTGCTTCTAACTCTACTATAAACTCTAATGCGTCCACAAGTTTAGATTCATTATCTTGTTGTAAATTTTCCAAGATTCTAATCATTTGAATTGTACATTAGGTTCTGGTGATTCAAGCCTTTCCACGGGGTCATCAAGATCTAGCAATTCTGATGGTTCTGGTTCTTTTAAGAACTCAGACTCTTCATCTGGTTCTAATGCTTTTGGATCTTTTAGAGGGTCAGCTTCTATAATAGGTTCTCACAATTCTAAGAGTTCAAAATCCTCATCAGATTCTGACATTTTTAAAAAGTCGAGTGCTTTATCAGGTTCCAACAATTCTAAGGGTTTTGGATTTTCTGACAATTCAAAATCTTCATCAAGTTCTGCTGGTGCTAAAACTTTAGACTCATCATCAGGTTCTATTATTTCTAACTCATTTTATATAGTTGGGCTGTTTATAAAGTTCTAACAACTATAAAGGTTCTAAATTTGATATGGTTTTTTCACTTATTTATTAGGTTCAGATGGATCTATGTCATTCACAAATGATTCTATTAGTACAGATGTTTATTTCATATTTATAATCAAATTATAATATTTTATAGGTCTTACAAATGCAGGCACTTCCGTTTACACTGGTTCTTCTGCGATATCTAGTCACTCTGCAAAACACACAAGTCCTGCAGCATCTAGTCACTTTGTCGCACAAACTGGTTCTACCACACATGCCGGATCTTCTACATCATCTAGTCATTCTGCATTACATGACAGTTCTTCTGCAACATCTAGTCACTCTGCTGCACACACCAGTTCTTCTGCAACATCTAACCACTCTTCCGCAAACACTGGTTCTTTTGCGACATCTAACCACTCAGCCGCAAGCATTGGTTCTTCTGCAAAATCTACCCATTCCGCTACACACACTGGTTCTTTTGCAGCATCTAGTCACTTTGCCGCACAAACCGGTTCTTCCACACACACCGGATCTTCTACATCATCTAGCCATTCTGCATCACATGGCAGTTCTTTTGCAACATCTAGTCACTCTGCTGCACACACTAGTTCCTCTGCAACATCTAGCCACTCTGCCGCACACACCGGTTCTTCTGCGACATCTAGCCACTCAGCCGCAAGCACTGGTTCTTCTGCAAAATCTAGCCATTCCGCTGCACACACTGGTTCTTCTGCAACATCTAGTCACTTTGCAGCACAAATTGGTTCTTCCACACGCACCGGATCTTCTACATCATCTAGCCATTCTGCAGCACATAGTAGTTCTTCTGCAAGATCTAGTCACTCTGCTGCACACACCAATTCTTCTGTAACATCTAGTCATTCTGCTGCACACACCGGTTCTTCTGCAACATCTAGCCACTCTGCCACACACACTGGTTCTTCTGCGACATCTAGCAACTCAGCCGCAAGCATTGGTTCTTCTGCAAAAACTAGCCATTCTGTTGCACGTACTGGCTCTTCTGTAACATCTAGTCGCTTTGCTGCACAAACTGGTTCTTCCACAAAGGACGGATCTTCTACATCATCTAGTCATTCTGCATCACACGGCAGTTCTTCTGCAACATCTAGTCACACTGCTGCACACACCAGTTCTTCTGCAACATCTAGCCACTCTGCCGCACACACTGGTTCTTCAGCGACATCTAGTCACTCAGCCGCAAGCATTGGTTCTTCTGCAAAATCTAGTCATTTCGCTGCACACACTGGTTCTTCTGCAACATCTAGTCACTTTGCCGCACAAACTGGTTTTTCCACACACGTCGGATCTTCTGCATCATCTAGCCATTCTGCAACACACGACAGTTCTTCTGCAACATCTAGTAACTCTGCTGTACACACCAATTCTTCTGCAACATCTAGTCATTCTGCTGCACACACCAGTTCTTCTGCGACATCTAGCCACTCTGCCGCACACACTGGTTCTTCTGCGACATCTAGTCACTCAGCCGCAAGTATTGGTTCTTATGCAAAATCTAGTCATTCCGTTGCACGCACTGGTTCTTCCGCAGCATATGGTCAATTTGCCACACAAAATGGTTCTTCCACACACGCCAGATCTTCTACATCATCTAGCCATTCTGCATCACACGGTAGTTCTTCTGCAACATCTAGTCACTCTGCTACACACGCTAATTCTTCTGCTGGTTCTTCGACGACATCTAGCCACTCAGCCGCAAGCATTGGTTCTTCTATAAAATCTAACCACTCCGCTGCACGCACTGGTTCATCTATGACATCTAGTCATTCAACTGCAAGCACTGGTTCTTCTATGACATCTAGCCACTCTGCCGCACATACTGGTTTTTTTGCGGCATCTAGCCACTCTGCCGCAACCACAGGTTCTTCTGCGACATCTAGCCACTCTGGCTCACACACTAGTTCTTCTGTGGCATCCAGTCACTCCGCCGCACGCACTGGTTCTTCTGTAACATCTAGCCACTCTAGCGCACATATTGGTTCTTCTGCAATGTCTAGTCACCCTATCGCACACACTGATTCTTCTACGACATCTAGCCAATCTGCCTTACGCACAGGTTCTTCTGCGGTATCTAGCTACTCTGCTGCACGCACTGATTCTTTTGTGAAACCTAGTCACTCTGCTACACATATTGGTTCTTCTGCGACATCTAGCCATTTAGCCACAAACACTGGTTCTTCTACAACATCTAGCCACTCTGGCGCAAACACTAGTTCTTCTGCAGCATCTAGCCACTCTGTCGCACACACTAGTTCTTCTATGGCATCTAGTCATTCCGCTGCACGCACTGGTTCTTCTGCGACATCTAACCTCTCTATCGGAGATGCTGGTTCTTTTGCAACATCTAGCCACTCTGGCGCCGACATTGGTCCTTCCGCACACATCAATTCTTCTACAACATCTAGCCACTCTGTCGCACGCACTGGTTCTTCTATGACATCTGGCCACTCTGTTGCAAGTATCGGTTCTTCTGTGACATCAAGCCAGCCTATTGCACACAGCAACTCTTCTGCGACATCTAATCATTCCGTCCCGGGTACTGATTCTTCTGCACACACAGATTCTTCTGTGACATCTGGCATATCTACTAGCAATATTGGTTCTTTTGCGACTGGTTCTTCTGCACACACAGGCTCTTCTAAGACATCTAATCACTCTATCGCAAGCATTGGTTCTTCTGCGGAATCTAGTCACTCTGGCACAAGCATTGGTTCTTCTGTGACATCTAATCACTCTGTCGTAAGCACTGGTTCTTCTGCAACATCTAGTCATTCTGCTGCACACACTAGCTCTTCTACGGCATCTAGTCACTCTGCCGCTCACACTGATTCTTCTGCGATTTCTAATCACTCTGCCGTAGACATCGGTTCTCATAAGTCACAAAGTCATATGTCTTCTAGTCACTCACACTCTAGTTCTTTCTCAGCTTCTCATCATTCTTCCTCAAGTCATAGTTTTGGTTCCACAACTTCCGGCTCTTCCACAGGTATCGGATCTTCTATGACTAATGCTGATTTCGCTACTGGTTCAAACTTGAGTAATAATATTGGTTTTAAAACTTCAGGCTCTTTAAGAGGTATCAATTCTTACGATACTCTTGGTTCTACAAACTCTGGATCTTTCGACAGTTCTGACGAAAGCCAATTTGGCCATAGTTTCTCGAAGGTTTTTGCTTTCGGAGACTCATACACCGATACAGGCAATGCTCAATCTTTAGGCATTATGAAAAGCTTTGTGAGTGACTTTTTATCAAAATTTGATCAAACCATGCACTCAAACCTCAAGTTTGATGGTAGATCAAGTAATGGTCGTTTGGTTATCGACTTCCTTTGTGATTCTCTCAACATATCGACGTTGCCACCATTCGAAGTTGCTTCAAAAAAACCCGATATCAATGAAAAATGTGGAGTGAATTTCGCCATTGGAGGGTCGACATCTCTTTCCGGTGACTTCTTTAGTAATAACAAAGTCTCCAATAACTTCATGTGGCAAGGCACTCCATTAGGTTTCCAAACACAAATAGAATGGTTCAACGAGTTTTTCACGGAAAAAGTCTGTAATGGGAAAATCACTGAACAATGCAAGGCACAAATGGGAAACAACCTCATTTGGATTGGACAAATGGGTGCAGATGACTTCGCTCGCGTTATCGGATCTTCTATTTCGTTGAGGTGGCTTACCGATATAACTCTCGATCAAATCTCCAAAATCCTCACGGTATGTATTTATATCATGTCTAATATTATCGAGTCTAGCATTGAGTGTCTTCTACATTTAGAAAAATGCTTTAAATATGAACTTGGAAACTTTATTTTTGTTGCAGACGGTGTTGGATAGTGGTGCAAAGTTCATTGTGGTTCAAGGACTACCACCAGTCGGGTGTTGGCCATTAGCCAAGTTATTAACTCCCCAATTCGCCCAGGATGAAATGGGTTGTTCTGCAGTTATCAATAAAGCAGTAATGGCTCACAATGATTTGTTACAGAAGACATTGGAAGAGTTTCGGAAAAAGCAACCCCACGCTACGATCGCATATGCTGATTATTTTAACGCATTCAAGACGATCATGGAAAACCTTGTCGAGTTTGGTTTTTCAGACGGAGTTGACACGTGTTGTGGCGTCGGAGGTGTACTCAACTTTAACTTGGACATCCTATGCGGCATGCCTGGTACAAAAACTTGCAGCAACCCAAATGGTTATGTCCATTGGGATGGACTTCATCTTACAGAGGCAATGCATAAACAAATTACTCGTCTCTTCCTCAAGGATGGCTTCTGCAAACCGTCTTTTGCCGAACTCGTCAACAAGCATCGCAGCTTAATTCAAGCCGCTCAACCGTAGGCTCCTTACAACGATCGAGCACTATGGACATTTTGTCCATAAATTAGCCCTATGGGCATCCCATCTTCACACAGGTGAAGCAATAGTGATGTATCTTAGACTTCAAAATCTAATAAATCTGTATCATCCTTTTTGAAATGATACGGTGGCGGCTTTTGTCACTCTTTCTCATTCTATTTTCGATCTTCATGGAGTTCAATTTGTGTTGCTCGGACTTTTTATTTCTCATCCCGTAATTGTGTGTGGGACACATACGACTGATATTAATATCATTGAAAGTAAAACAAAACGAAGTAGACTCGATAGAAAAATGAGGTAACCACAGACTCAAGTTTCAGAAATTACTTCCATTATTAATTCACGATTACACACCGATGTTTCATCGATTTCGAAAAGTCTAAAATGGGAGAAGTTGATAGATTTCACTTACCGAACCCTATTTACATTTGATGGTCGGTGATTTCTCTCTGTACACCATTTTCCGAACTACTTTGAATCAAATTAAGTACTCATAATATACCAAGAAAAGTGCATCCGAGCAGTCCTTTGGAAGGCTGTTGACGTAGAGGTAGAATCGCAACAAGTCCTCCTTGGAAACAGTTTCATTGTCGACCACATCATCGTTGCAGGTAAGCACCCATAAATCTTCAGAGTTAACTCTTTTCAAGCTTCCACGACAAAAAGGGCAGGACTCCGACTTTGTGTTCCTGTAATTTGGAATGAAAACCATCAAGGACCAAACCTTGAAAACACAAGAGGAATAGAGTGTGGTTTCCGGTTACCAATTCCGGTAGCATTTGATGCACATTGCATGACAACAATTTGGTAAGACCATTTTGGTGCAAGGCTCCAAGCAAATTCCACATTCATCTTCCCTTTCCCAGTCAACATGTCCAAGTCTTTTCTGGCCATAACTATCAATTGTAAATCGCCTTTCCTCATCATCATCCAACTCCCCCAAGCAACCATGGAGCCTTTGAAGAGATGGCAATATAACACCTACAGCTCCGTTAATTGGTGAACGGGATGATGCTAAGGCAAATGAATCATAAAAACAGCAAATTTTAAGCTCATAAAACTATGAAAACAAACACTCATTATATGCTAACCATAAAACTCCCTAATTGTTGCCTTCCTTCCATGAGTAGACATCTCTGATCTCCCATCTGCATATACCTATAGCACATAAGACAGAAACAAAGAAAGGGCGCGTGTAAATACGTACAGAAATATCAGGAACCTTCCTTTAAGAATCGAAATAAGTTGGGGGAAGATGGATGAACCTTGTATACAAGAACGTGGAAGAGGTCTAGATATCCAGGGAGTAGACACATACATGAACTATCCATCCATTGTAGCAAAAACAGGAAGAGAGGGGCCAAGCGGTTGTACACCAATTTCATTTGAAGATAAGCACCACTCTTGGCCCTCGGAATAGCAGCAGCCCTAAAACCCGAATAACACAATCGGTTACTAGAACGAAAACGGAGACATCTAAATGACATTCTAAACCAATCATCCTAGCAGCGCAAATAGGCTAAAGTTAGACCAAAGATTAAAGGCAAAATTCCCCAAGTTTTATTCGTTTTTGAACTAAAACCTTATCATAAACATGCAACATTCATATACCATTAAACAGCAGTAATTTACTTCAGTTCCTATCAGATAAATAATCATCAAAATACCAACAAATCCAGTAATTACTCAGAGAGATTTTAGCTAGTACGAGAATTGTTTAGGCTGACAATTCACAATACCAAAGATTATAAAAATCAATTCGTCGTGATTATGATCACCAAAAGCAGCTAAAGCAACTAAAAAACAGAAACAATAACAAGTCAAAAACCCATTACAGGGATGGAGAAGATAAGGAAATCAGAATACTAAATTCACCAGAAACCTGAAAACCCAGATAAGAAAACTTACATAGAATTTGCATATTGTATATCAGCCTCTAGCATTCTCAAAGAATCCTGATAAGAAGACCTGGACAACTGATAAGACATCATCTCCTTCTCTATCTCTCCGTTAGAAAACAAAAACAGAAACTTCGACAAGGTACAAGAATCTAAACAGATAAAGCAAGTGGCTCTTCCTTTTCTGAAAACCTAACAAAGATTTTCTTTTTTTCTTTTTGAAAAAAAAAAGGGTTTTCTGTTCTTTCTTCGGCTCTCCTTTTGGGATTATAAAGAAGGCGGCTACTGGGAATGAAAAGTAAATATTATACCATTAATTACACACTTGTTCAACAAGAAAAACAAAACCATTGTATATTAATAATTGTTTCAAACTTCAATTTTTCATGGTTTCGAGAAAGAACATCGTTTGTTCTTCCCCTCGATGATGTAATTTGCTTCACCGACTTCCTGTACCTGTAAATAGTTTTTCTGTGATATCTTAAATGAGTGAATTAATCATCATCATTATTATTAGATATTGTTAAGATATTTGAGTTTGATGGGTATAAAATTATTATTTTTTAAATAGATTTGGTATTGACCATGACGGATTTTAATTTGAGATTTGTTTTTTTCCCTGCTGAAATTATCCGAGCAAAGTTCAATCTTTATTACTGTCTTACCCAATTAAAAAGATGATAGTTTCCTTTTCATTTATCAATCAAACTATTGGTATGTTTTTAGGGTAAAGGTATACAAATAATCCTTTAATTATAGGGTATTATTTTGTTTAGTCCTTAGGATGTTAAAAATATTAAATGGTCCCTCAACTATAAGATGTTGCTTATTGAGTCATTCGACTATTAAAAGTTATAAAATAGTCACTTGACTTTTCATATGTTTCAAACTCGTCCGTTTTTGTTAAAAGATTGACGATAGTCTGAACTAGATATTAACATGTTGACTAGGATATGATAATATTTGATCTCATAATTGTTTGAGCCATATTTTATGTATCGATTATACGTTTACTTATACTATTAAGTCAGTGCTTGAAAGATTATATTGTCAAGTCAATGCTTGAAAGCAATGACAGTGCAAATAGACATTATTAAAATATGATTTTATCATATCACAATCAGTAGGTTAATGTCTAGCTCAAACGACAATCAATTTTTTAGCGGAAAATGATAAGTTTGAAACATATGAATAGTCGGGTGATTATTTTATAACTTTTAATAGTTATAGTACTCAATGAAACATCACTCTATAGTCGATGACCATTTGTGTACTTTACCCTTTTTTAATAGTAGTTTGATTAATTCTCCGTTATCTTATGTCTTTAAGAACTTATTGATTGATTTTAAATGATAAAAACGATATTATTTTTTAAAAAGATTTCGAGTTCGAGTAATTTTTTTGTAGAGTGTGTATACATTATTCATGGTTAATAAATATTCTAAATAGATGTTAACTTGTAATCTTCTCGGATTAATTAGAAAATAATTAAATATAATGGAATTTTTTCTCCAAAGTATTTTGTTCGAGTAATATCAAATCGAGGACAAATTGCTTCATTCTGTTTGGTTAAACATTCAACCCAAAATTATTATTTGAAATAAATTTATAATTATTAGTAAAACTTAAATATTAGATAAGTTAAAATTTTAATATCAATAAATTTCAAAACTAAATCAATTGAACAAATTCCTTTGGACTTCAAAAAAATGTGGGATATGCATGGAGAAAATGCACAAAGATTGTTCTACGTACCTCTGGGTTTTATCCTAATAAATCTTTTAGATAAACCAAGTTTGATTTAGACCTCCATTTAATTTCAGGAGCAGATGGGACAGTCATCTGAAAAATTCAAAGTCTTATATATTTTAAATATTTTTTATTGGAAATCTTCTCTCTCGTTGCTTGAAATTTTATAAATTTGTCTCTCCTAATATTTTATAAGTTTTTCCCCTAACATAAAATTATATGTTCGTCTCTGATTATACTTATTCAAAGATTAAGTTTAGACAAAGAGTCTAAATTCGATTAAAAAGTTTAATAATAAATATGTTTCTAATATATGTTTTATTATAAAAATATAATTTTATTTACTTTTAGTGTGGTAAATAGGAATGGTAATGGGTCAAGTTGGGGTTTTTGACCCGCTGACCTAAAAATTAAGCTCTTTCATTAGTATCTGACCCAATTAGAGTTTAAGAGGTTCTTATTCGATCCAAAATCAACTCAATTTTTAGGTTAAAACTCACATCAGAACGATTCAACCAAAATATATATAACTTTTTTATTAGTTAAATTAAATATTTAATTATAAAATAAAAAGAATATTATTGCAATTATCCCTAAATATATAATGAATAATTATCATATTATGTTGGGTTGGGTTAGATCTATTTTTTTCATCTAAAACCTGAATCCTACTAACCCTTAAAAAACAGTCTCAACTAAAACACAAAATTTTAAAATAAAAAATTAATCTGAACATGTTAAGTTTAAACTCGTCGAGTGAAATGATCATCCCTAATAGTAAACTAACAAGTAATACAACCTTTAAACAAGTCTAAATATCTCATTTTTCTTCAAAATTCAAATCGAATTTCATATATTTGACTTAATTTGTTCAAACAATTTCAAATAAAATTTAATAAAATATGCTTTATCAACTAGATTTAGCTTGACTCAATCGAATACTCACACTAATTTCTCCTACCCATGTTTCGCACTTCATTTTAAGTTCAATTTATCCAAATTTAAATCACATACTAACGCGCGCGCGCACACATACATATATATAACTTCAATTTTTATTTTAACAATAAATTAACTCTTTTTACAATTTAATATCTCAACTTTGTATTTTATGCAATTTGGTTATATATATTTTTTAAATTCTTCTTTCTCTTCAATTCCTTCACTCCTTTATATTTGCATCAATATTTTACCCTAAAATACTTTCTTTTAAACAATAAAATTATAAAAATATTTTATAATATTAGATAAGATTTGATTTATTAAATAATATTACAACATAAAAATAATATGAAAAAATACTAATGTATATCTTATATGTTTTGAGAAAGTTATTAAATTAGACCAATTTGCATCATAAACTCATGAATATATATAATTAAATTAGAACTTAAACTTAAAAATCCAATTTTATTCGAATCAAAATTTATAAACTCAACTTGAAAAATTCAAATAAAATTGTGATCTTAAGATAGGGCTCGCCAACTTAGCTAGCTCCAGATTTTTTTATTTGATTCGACCAAATATTCATCTCTATCAAAGACAGAAATAAGATTAAGCATTGTGAATGGTTAAAACTTCACATCCAAGGAATAATTATATGTTAAATATTTAAACTTAAAATTTAAAGTAACAAAAAAATTATTTAATTAATATTTAAATTAAAAATTAAAACATTATTATAGTAAAAAAAATTAGAGGGTTATGTGCCCCTCTCAATCCTCTGATGGTTCCATCTCTATTCAAAGAACAAATTTCATCATTTTTAATAATTCAACATCTCTTTCAAAACCACAACTAATTAAAAAAAAGGAGAGAATAAAACAGGTAAAAACAAACCCCTTAATGACAATAGAATAATATAATAATAGTAAAGCTATATTCTAAACTTTTAATTAAATTAATTAAAAGCAAAAATCCCACTTAAGAGATGTTGCATGGACTCCATCCCCCCTCACCAATCATGCCCACAACCCACCACTCTCTTATTATACTATAAAGTATTTCTTTAGTGGGCATTGGCCATTGGGGCATTTCCTCTTTTACAAACCATTTGGGTTTTTTCTTCTTTGAATGTCCTTTCATTACCCCCACTCCTTGTAAAGTTTAATCATTATATTTTTATAACGTTGGATATCTGATTTATACTATTTTCTTAGTATATTAACAACAAGATGTAATTATTCAAAATCGAGATCTTTAGGGAGAATAATATTTTTTTTATCATTAAGATCAGTTAATAAATTCCATATTTCGTATCTTAAAACATGTTTAATGATAATTTTTGTTCCGATTAATTTGAATTCTTAAAAATTTAAACTTTTATCCTTTATTTAACTTTTAGTAGTAAGGTTCAAGATGGTTCTTAAGTCTTCATCAAAAAATGCTTTGTGCTGTTCCATTAGAAGCCGGAGATTGGAGGAGGAAAATTTTTGCTTTGGTTGGCTAGGGTGGTGAGGCGACTCATTGGTGCTCCACCCCCATTACTAATGCACTTGTGTTAAAAGCTTTGAAATGTTCATGGAGGATATAGATGCCCACTTACCCTATCTTTATGACCTCCAAAATTGAGCTATCGTGGCCTTAATTTAACCCTCCTTTATGTTTTGGAAAAGGAAAATTATGGATAATGTGTTGATTATCGATTCAATAAAAAATTATTAAAAATATTGTTAGAGTCGTGTGATTCAATTTTTTTGATTAAACATGACATTATTAGAAAAAAAAATTACTTAAAATAGAGATTTATGTTGACGAATAAGCCCAATATGGTACCTATAAGTTAAATCCATGTAAAACCATACTTTTCTCTTTGTGTGTTAATGAAGTGTAGGGAACTCGTTTCTGATATATTAAATTTTCTCCTTTTACGCTCTTAATTTTTTTTTCCGAAATAATTTTGTTATGTTATGTTATGTTAGATTTGATTTTTTTTTATTTTATATATTTGTTTTATATTCATTATTTTCATGTTTATACTTTTATAAATATAATATGAATATAATAAAATCTAAAAATTATCCTAAACATATTAATATCTATATGTTACATCGATATACTAGCATATTATTAAATATAATAATCAAACATAAAAATTATTATACTATTAAATAAATATTATCTTGTATTGTTAAAAAAAATTATCATAATCCTTAATTAAAAAAGCAATACATTTAAACAGTAATAAAATTTTATTGATTAAATAAGTAATATAAAGTATTAAATAAAAGACAATTTGGAGAGCGTGGGTACACGCTCCAATGATAAAGAGACAGTCACGTGGGCAGGTCGCCCGAGTTTGAGCTCGAGTTGACAAATGATGTTTTTCTTCAAAACTTTTCCATTTCCTTTTACCGTGTCTAAAATTCTGAGGATCCAAAAGT